GGGTAGAAGAATGGATGGATGGGTAGATGGATGGGTGGATGGGTGAGTAAATGAATGAGTATGTAGAACGGATGGACAGAGACGAAGGTGGGTAGGGAGGTGGATGAGTGAATAGACTCAGGCTCTTTTGTGCTCCCTTCCCCAAAGGATTCTCAGGTAAAGAAAACCTTGGTGTTTGCAAGGACCCCGCAAAGCCTGTGCTGCACGTATAGATTTCTACTTGCCAGATGACAGCCAGACACCTGGGTGTGAAAGATGCGATCACAAGGTGCCTAAGTGGGAGAAGGGGCGGGACGTGGGGGGGGGTGAGTCACCCCCCGCTCAGCAGCACAGCATCACGACGCTGCCACAGAGACAGCAGGCAGACAGACAGGTGGGATGGCAGATGCGCAGCCTGGAGGCGGGGCGCAGGCAACGGAGCCCGCAGCTGATGGAGCAGACCAAACAGACCTCTTCCTGGGTCCATCAGGGAGCAGATACCATCTGGCCATCACCAAGCAGGCTCTCTCTGACTGTCCAAAAGCCATGCTCACAGGAAGCGGAGAGGAGATGGGGCTTTGCTTCTGCGTCTCTCGGATGGGCAGCCGGAGGCAGAAAACTAAGGGAGAGAGCCTTTGTCCCCAGCCCTGGGCCCCTCCTGCCACCTCCTTCCCCAGCTACCCACCTGACAGGTTGCTGGGGCTCATCTGCTGGGCCAGGATCGCCTTCAGCTTCTTGATTTCCTCCTGGTACTCGCGCAGGAGGGCATCCTTGGGGTCCTCATTGATGCGTGGCTTGTTCTTGATGTTCTTGGCCCGGTTGGCATAGCGCAGTGTGCTGAGCGTCTCGTCATAGTTGTTGTCTGCGGGTGACAGGCAGGCCACCATCAGTGTCTTTGTGTTGCCACCCAGCGAGTCCTGCAGCAGCCGCGTCAGCTTCGAGTCCCGGTAGGGGATGTGTTTACAGCGCCCGTCCACCAGGGCCGAGATGACGTTGCCCAGGGCCGACAGCGACAGGTTGATCTTGGTGGCCTCCTTGAGCCGCTCCCCTGTGGCACCCGTCTTGGACTGCCGCTCGCTGCCCGCCAGGTCCACCAGATTCAGCTTGCCAGCACGGAGATGGTCCTTGCCCCGCTCATCTGTGGACAGACCAGGCGGAGGGTAAGGGGCTTTCGGTGAGCCCCACGTGGGGCACTTAGCCACCAGGCACCGAGCGCTCCCACTATCAGCCACATAGGAGCCCATGAGAGAGGCACTATCACCATCCCCGTCTTACAGAAGAGGAAACAGGCTCAGAAAGGCATCTAACTGGGCCAAGGTCACACCGTTGCTAAGTGGTAGACCCAAGGTCAGAACACAGGGCTGGGGTGCCTGGGTGGCTCAGATGGTTAAGCATCTGCCTTCGGCTCAGGTCATGATCCCAGGGTCCTGGGATCGAGCCCCGCATCGGGCTCCCTGCTCAGCGGGGGGTCTGCTTCTCTCCCTCCCTCTGCTTCTCCCCCTGCTCATGCTCTCTTTCTATCTCTGTGTCTCGAATGAATAAATAAAAAAATCTTAAAAAAAAAAAGAACACATGGCTACTTGACTCTGGGAGCAGAGGCTGGAAGGTCCAGACTATTCTCTGAGTGCAGTGGGATTTCTTGCAGTGATCACAATAGCTCTCCCGGATGTCCTGTGACGCCAAGAGTGGGCGGATGTGATCGGGTCACCCAGAGCCTTGTATCCTTCGCTGCAAAAGACATTGGCTTTGGAGGCTCTTGGACCTGGTTCCCAACCCAGCCCTGCCTCCTCCTTGCTGTGTGACCTTAGCAGAGCCATGCACCTCCCTGGTCCTCAATTCTTACAGCCACAAAATGAGACTAACAGTAGCTCCCCACTCGGGCTGGTTGTTGGGGGGAGTAAAGTAAAAGGAGAGCACATTTTTACAGAGTTGACCCAGGGCCCAGCACACAGCAGGGGTTCATCCCCCCTGAGAACAAGCCCGATTCTGTGGTGACCAAGGCTGTGCAGACAAGGCCGACCCCTGTGTTGAGGGTGACAGGAGTCATGCACTGGCTGGTAACAGGGGCTCAGAGCACAGGTTTTGAAGGCACAGATCTTGGGGGTCCAATCTTGATTCTATGTCTTAGTAGCTATGAAACTTTGGGAAAACCACTAGACTCAGTTCCCAATGAGATGGGAGGGAGGAGGCAGGCGGAGGGGCAGGGGGCTTCCTCCTCGGTCTCCTGCGGGTTGAAACCAGAACTGGCCTCATGTTGCCCATGCACACAGCAACCCGGAGTCTGGCTGGTACGCAGGAGAGGCTTGGACACATGAGGGGCTTGAGGTTGGGGGCTATTTTTTTTTTTTTTAAGCAGCAGCAGCAGGACGGAGGGACTGGGAACCGTGCTCTTGGCAGAATGTACCAGGAGCCTTAAACAGGTTTGTATCCTTCGCCCCAGGAGGTCCACTCCTGGAAATGTTATCCGAAGAAATGACTCTAAAAGCAGAAAAGGCTTGGTGCACCAAGATGTTCATCGTGGCATTACTTACAACACCCCAAGACAGGAAACAACCTTACCGCCCTCTAAGGATTGGTTAGAAAAGCGCATGAGAGATGCGCTGTCCTTTAGCCGGCACCCATGGTCACAAAGACATGGCAGGAAAGATGCTCAGGGATGGCGCGGGGAATGGAACGCAGGGGAGAAACTAAATACAACAGAAGAGTTTGACTGTGTTTATACATTTCATAGGATAAAAAGGACCAAAAAACCCCAATACGCTTAAATGCTAATAGTTGTGTTTATGAGTAATTTTACCTACCTTTCTCTAATTCCTAAATAGCTTTACTGAACTTATTTTATAATGAAAATGAAAAACATCTTTTTTTTTTAAAAAATTTATTTATTTATTTGACAGTTTTTTTTACAGCGAGAGAGGGAACACAAGCAGGGGGAGTGGGATTTTTTTTAGCAGGCTTCCTGACGAGCAGGGAGCCCGATGCAGGGCTCGATCCCAGGACGCTGGGATCATGACCTGAGCCGAAGGCAGTTTTTTTTCGACTGAGCCACCCAGGCGCCCCGAAAAACATCTTTTTTTTTTTTTTGCAGGGCGCCTGGGTGGCTCCGTTGGTTAAGCGTTTTTTTTTTGATTTTGGCTCAGGTCGTGATCTTGGGGTCATGATTTTTTTTCCTACATCAGGCTCCATGCCTAGTGTGGAGCCTGCTTTTTTTTTTCCCTCTCCCTCTGCCCCTCCCCCCACTCACGCACTTTTTTTTTAAAAAAATTAAAAAATAAAAAAATAAATTTGTTTAATTTTTTTTTTCCAGGCAGCCTGCTGCATCCTTCAAACCCTTCTGTTTTTTTTAAGAGGCACCCCCAAAGGCACTCTGTCCTCCCCGCTTTTTTTTTGTCCTCACCTGCCCTAGTCCCTGCCCCCCGCCGCACTTTTTTTTCGCATTACGTTGTGACCTCACTGACCCTGCCCAACCTTTTTTTTCACCCTGGGGAGACTCAGACCCAGCAAGCACCAGGCTTTTTTTTTGGGGCCAGGTCACCACACATGCTGGGCGATGTCGTTTTTTTTTCCCCGGCTTTGACCTTGGGTCGGGGATCTCTCCAGAATCATGTTTCTGGTTGGGCCGAGGCTGTTTCCTGCTGCAGTGCTTTTTTTTTTTCTATTCATGATGGGCCCGGAGGCAGCTGTCGTGTTTTTTTTTAAAGCCCAGATATCAGAAACTGGGGTTCGAATCCCATTTTTTTTGCTTATCGGTGGGACCCTGCACAAGAAAGCCTCGGCTTTTTTTTAGCCTCAGTTTTCCCATCTGTAAAATGGCCATTAGAATGCCTGCCTCTAGGAAGCCTGTGAAGTGCTTAGCACAGCCGCTTTTTTTTTCCAGAAATAAATACGAGTTTCTTCCCTTCCTCTTCCTTTTTTTTGGACTCTTTTAGAAAGGGGGATGGGGGAGATGACTGAAGGGTGGGGAGCACTGCAGAGAAAGAGGAGACTCCAAAAGGTCTTTTTTTTGAGGGCCAGCTCTGATGCTTTCTAGTTGCGGGACCTGGGTTTCCTCATCTGTAACATGGGGGATGATGCTAGTAGCCACCTTTTTTTTTTGTGGCAAGGAGTACAGGAGCTAACACACAGAAACTTTTTTTTACGTAGTAGGTGCTCAATATGAGCTGCCAGTGGTAGTTTTTTTTTTGATGATGCTGCTTATCCTGGAAACGTGGGCCCTCTTTTTTTTGGGTCCTCTTGGGTGGCCTCCAGGCAGTTCGATCATCTTCTCCCAGTTTCAGATGGGTCCCCCAAGGCCCCAGGAGGTAAAGGATCTTGGCGCCCAGCTCTGGCTCCCCCACCCCCACCAGCCCTTTTTTTTCACAGCGTAGATCTCGATGCTGATGGTGAAGATGGAGTGGGAGCGGGAGGAGTCCTTGTTCATCAGCGTGTAGCCTACTGTTTTTTTTTTCCAGCCCGTCTCCATGATGTGCTCACACTGGGTCTTTTTTTTCACCGTGTGCATGGAGAGCCCCTTCACATACACCCCTTTTTTTTGGTGCTCCTTCAGCTGTGGGCAGGAGGGATGGGTCAGAGCCGGGTGGGGGCAGGGATCCCCAAGGAACCCAGTGAAGGGCTTTTTTTTGGCCCCCTCTGCCCTCCTGCAGTGCAGGGTGGCACCTTTTTTTTCCTGCACAGGCAGAGGCTTTGTTCCAGGTGGAACCGTTTTTTTTCCCACCCCACCTCTTCCTTGTTGTGGGATCTTGAGCTTTTTTTTTAACCTCTCTGGGCCTCAGTTTCCACATCTGTAAATTTTTTTTTGATACGCGTCTCTTAGGGATGTGGTGGGGATTCCGTTTTTTTTTGCCCGTCCAAGGCTTGGCACAGGGCCTGGCACCGGGTTTTTTTTCCATAACGCCAGGCGCTGTCCGCACTGTTGGTGGTGTTTTTTTTATTATGAAGGGCCTTTCTAGACTGGGAGCTTCAGCTTCCAGGGGCTGACCCTGTAGCCACCTGAGGGTTCTGAAAGCTGCTTTTTTTTCCGGTCGACATGGCCCCTGATCGCCTCTCTGCTCTGTTTTTTTTGAGACAGGAACGTTCCCAGGCCCTTGGATCGTGGCCTTTTTTTTGCCATTTGCTGCCCAGAACTCCCACTGGCCCGCAGCTTTTTTTTGCCTCCAGCCATCAGCGTGATGGCAGCAAGTAAATTTTTTTTTTTGACTGCTCCCTGCTTGTTCTCCAGGCAGCCAAGTTTTTTTTTTGCTGACACAGAGCTATGAAATGCAATATTTTTCAAGTTTTTTTTAATAAAACCACTCTGGCGAGAGCAGAATGAATTAGGTTTTTTTTCCTCCCTCCTGGTCTGAGCCACAGAAGGCTCCGGTGCTGCAGGCAGCTTCGGGGTCCCACGTGGGGCTGGGCCGCTGCTGTTTTTTTTGGGGGGTGGGCACACAGGCTCGCCTTATCTGCTTGATTTTTTTTAAACCCCCAGGCCCAGACTGAAGGACTGGGCTTCCCTTTTTTTTAAAGCAAACGAGGCACAGACTGGGAAGGGATTTGCTTTTTTTTTCAGAGCTATTACTATCAGGGAAGCTGTGGGGTCCCATTTTTTTTAAAACTCCAGAAGCAGAGAATGGAGACGCTGGAGCATTTTTTTTAAACTGAAGTTTGAAATGACAAAGGGCTGACCTTGATTTTTTTTGTGGGGGTGAGGATGGAGCACCAAGGCCAGAAGCAGTTTTTTTTGTAAAGGGTGGTTGAAGCCGGCCTGAAATGCTCTGGTAGTGCCCTCTGGCTCCCATCGCACACATCCCAGGCCCCTGGGGTTTTTTTTGCCTCCTGCTGTGACCTCGGCCTGGGCCCTAGGGAGTTTTTTTTTGATCCGGCCTCTTGGGGAGCAGTAGGCTCCTAATCTCCTAGTCGGGCAGCCCCCCAGTGTTAGAGAACTGGCTCTGCCCTTTTTTTTTTGGAGAAGTCAATTTGCCTCTCTTCACCCCAGTTCTTTTTTTTAGACGATCATAAATTCTGTTTCTGCAAAACCACTATTTTTTTTTAGAAGAGGGTGGAGCTAAAACCCAGTCCGGTGGGTATTTTTTTTGGTGCCACCAGCACAGGGCACAGGGGTGGGGGGGTGTTTTTTTTAGTAGGGATGCCACTGCCCTATTTTTAGGCCCTGGATTTTTTTTTCCCCAACCTCATGATCCCCAAAATCTTGGCCCTCCTCAGCCTCAGCCCTGCTCTCCCAGGCAGGCTCTGAGTGCCCAAGTAACTATTCCTCCCTGAGACCCAGCCCAGAGCCTGGGCACCATGTTTTTTTTTGGGATGCTGGGATGCGGCCAGCGAGGGGCAGACGTCCCCAGGCAGGAGGGGCTCCTGACACTGCCCCCCAGTACACTGATTTTTTTTGAGGGCCTCACCTCCACCACCCAGTGTGGGCTGCCTTTTTTTTTGTGGTTGGTGGTGGTGGTTGAGGGAGGGAGTGAAACTTTTTTTTCCCATATCCCTCGTCTGGGCTGATCCACTCACCACTTTTTTTTTAAACCTTCAGGCCCTGTGTTAAGCACGGGTTCAGAGCCCGTGTGGTGGGGCCTGGACACCTGGATTCAAATCCAGCCTCACCCTTTCCTGACTGTGTGCCCCGCGGCTGGTCTTACCCAGGCGTATTGAGCCTCAGTTTCCTCCTCTGTAATAAAGGATCAGAGCAGCTTTTTTTTCTAAGGCTGTTCTGAGATTCCCAGGAACAACCATCCTTTTTTTTGCCAGGGGACAGCGGGTCAACCCCCCCCCCTCCCCGTTTTTTTTGGGAGTGTCTCGGAGGGCACCTGTCACTGGCAGCCCCCGCCCCCGCCCCCAGGGCAGCCTGACTCAGCAAGCCTGAGGCCTTTTTTTTACATGGGGCAGGGGCACAGCTGCCAGAGCTCAGGGCTTTTTTTTTGGAGGCCATTCTAGAGTCCTGGGTGTGGAAGGAGGGGAGGAGGGCCCCCTGCTGCCCCAGTGCAGGTTGGCGGGAGGGGTTTTTTTTTCCCCTAGGCTGGCCTTTCGGGACTGACACGTGGGATTTTTTTTCTGTGCCTTCCTACCCACCCTCATTTCCCTGTCTGGTTTTTTTTCTATGACTCAGCTGCTCCAGCTCCAGGATAGAGAAGTTTTTTTTAAGACTCCAGGTGGGCGGCTGGAGGTTCCTGCATAGTTTTTTTTAAGCGCTGCTGTGTTTGTCAGGAGCTGAGGAGGAGGTGCCAGGCTGGGATGAGGCCTGGGAGGAAGGGAGGTCACACAGCCGTGGGGACCCGCTGTAGCACGTGGCCTGGCGTCTGGCACCCGCTTTTTTTTCCCAGGTCTTTGCTGCGTGAATGGGTCACCTGATGGTTTTTTTTCCCTTGGCCAGAACCCCACTACTGGCCTCTGAGTGCTTTTTTTTGTCTCTATATTGCTGACCCCAAAAAATTCTGGTAGGTTTTTTTTTGACCACTCAGATCCTCAAGTTCTGGTACCAATACCGTTACCAGTAATTAGCTGTGTGGCCTTGGCCCCCTCCCTTCCCTTTTTTTTTACTCAGTTTCCTCATCTGTACTAGGAAAGGGCCGACTTTTTTTTCTCAAGCGTTTTTCCAGCTCAAATTCTTAGGGATTTTTTTTTTTTATGGCCAGAACAAACACATTTTTAAAGACAGCTTGTTTTTTTTGGTCTGATCTGCTCACTTGGATCAAAGAGTGGTCACAGGTCAGAGAGGAACTCACAGACCCCACAGGTGAACCCTGGGCCTTTTTTTTGGGGGGGGGTTGGTCAGGCGACAAGTGGAGGCTCAGGCTGAGTAGGGAAATAACCCTGCCCCCTCCACGTGGGCAGGGATTTTTTTTTACCAGGTGATTCCAACATCCTGTCCAATCTAGAGGTTTTTTTTTGCCAGGAGGCCCGGGAAGCATTGGCAGCAGCCCCTTCACCTGGTTCTGCCCCCTTTCCCTTGGCTGTCAAGGCACGTGCCCTGGGGAGACTCAAGCAGTTTGTCACAGAAAATGTCCAACCCTGTTTTTTTTCGGGTGGCTCAGTCCATTGATGGTTGAGCGTCCAACTTTTTTTTTCGGCTCAGGTCACGATCTCAGGATCTCAGGGTCATGAGATCGAGCCCCATGCTGGGCTCTGAGCTCAGCACAGAGTCTGCTTGGGATTCTTTCCCTCTTCTTCCCCTCCGTCTCTGCCCCTCCTTTTTTTTGCACACGCTCTATTTCATTCATTCATTCATTCGTTCTTTTTTTTAAGCTTTTGTAAAAAAGAAAGAAAATGTCCAGCCCTTTTTTTTTGGCTTCCTAGCCTCAGGCAAGTCACATTCTCTCAGATTTTTTTTCCCATAAAATGAATGCATCTCCATGGCAACCTCCTGTTTTTTTTGCTCCAACTCGGGCATTCTGACTCTGAAGGAGGTGGGCCTCTTGGTTGCTTGGTCAGATAAGAAGCATGGGAGTCAGGGGTTTTTTTTCGCATTCTGGCCACAGGATTGCCTCAGCCTCCCCCCTTTTTTTTCCCGTGCCGGCCCCTCCCCCTTGGCCCTGACCCGGCTTTTTTTTCATTTAAAGAGTCCCAGAGAGGACACATAATCCAGGTTTTTTTTTCAGGCCTAGACCTGGGTCCAACCTTGCCACCAACTTTTTTTTTGGTCCTGGCAGGTCACTTGACCTCGCTGGGCTCCCCTTTTTTTTAGCCAAGTTCTGCCTGCCTTGTGTGACCCCCTCACATTTTTTTTCTGAATGCCTTCTGTGCGTTGGGCTCTACGAACAGCTTTTTTTTACCGCCCTCTTCAGTCCTCACTTTATAAGGGTCAGGTTTTTTTTCCTTGGGTGCCCCGCACTAGACCCCTTGCGGTCCTTGGGTGCCCTGCACCAGACCCCTTGCAAAGGGGAACAAAGTCCCATTTTTTTTGGCCTCGAACAGCCATGAAATGGGATGGTTGAGATTCAGGACCTTGAAGTCAGACAGACGTGGGTTCAAGTCCAGTTTTGGCCACACACATACGCAAGTGAATTAACCTAAGCGTCCCTTCCCATTTTTTTTAACTGGGGACAGCGGCTACCCAACAGGATCACTGTGTTTTTTTTTTAGATCATGTGCCTAAAGCAGTCAGTAAATAGTGCTTTTTTTTTGATAATCATCATCACCGTCTTTCTAGCTTTTTGGGTTTTTTTTGGTTTTCAAAGTAATTTTTTTAAGAAGTGGAACCCATTTTTTTTATGAAATCTATTACAAGACTCCATCTACTTCACCAGTTTTTTTTGGCATGACCCCAGGTAAGGTCCAGTCCCCCACTGTGTGGTCGGGGGTAGGCCGGTGAGCCCCTCCCCTGCAACAAGCACTTTTTTTTTCCTCCAGAATTCAAGTTCAAAAGTCCCCACTCTAGTCTGAACCGGTGCATGTGCCCCCAGGATACCTTCCCTGTGCTTCTGAGGGAGCTCGGCCCAATGCCAACCTCCACCCTTCCTCTGCCCCTCCCTGCCCCGGCCACGTCCGCACCCACCTCCAGCTTCTGCTTGTTTTTTTTCCCCAGAAGGTCACGGACATCTTCATTGTAGATCTCTTTTTTTTAGGCCCGGACCAGGAACTTGGTATTCTCTGCACACTTTTTTTTTTGGACAGGGACAGCAAAGAAGCCTGCCAACACTGGCTTTTTTTTCTTCCCCCTCTGCAGCCAGGACATCACGGAAGGACATTTTTTTTGGAGAGGCGACAACGTCAAGGGGAGGGGAGTCCCCAACCCTCCTGGCCCTGTCCGCCTGCCTGGTCAGCCGCCCACCCCTTTTTTTTTGCTCGGTGGGCCCCCCGGGCTCCTCTGATTGCATAATTTTTTTTTTGCTACTGTCACATGCTCTCTCCACAGCCTCAGGGTTTTTTTTATGGGAGAGGCCTCCCCATTACTCAGGTAGAGAAACTTTTTTTTCAGGTAAGGACCAAGCACTGGCTATGGCCTGATCTCTCCTTGTCGCAAATGTTCCTGGTGGGGGGGGCACCAACATGAGTTTTTTTTTCAGGTACAGTAGGCTCTGCGGCTGACCGGGGTCACATTCCCCACCCTGCCATTTCCCCGATGCAGGAATCTCTGCTCATGTTTTTTTTTGACCACCGGAGCAATTCTCACCTGTAGCCTGGCACTTGGACAACCGGTCTTGCCCAGCACAGAAGGGCGGTAAGTCTGGTTTTTTTTATCTCGAAAATGGGGACAATGGTGATCTCCTGGGGCCAGGGTGGGGGTTCAGTGAGATAATGATGCAAAGGGGTTTGCACTTTTTTTTGTCTGTAGCAACTGCTTAATAAAAAAGGGAGGCTCTTTTTTTTTCAACCCCTTCTCGGGCCAGTGCCCTGGATCATCGGGTTTTTTTTGGACAGCAAGTGAAATGTTCAAGTCCAAAAATGGCATTTTTTTTACATGGAACTGGGAGGCAGAATTTTTCTCAATGTGATTTTTTTTCATCCCCTTTTGGAAACCAGAGCCTGCCTCTGCTCATCCGTGTCGGGTCACAGCAGGCTCCGACAGGCTCAGAGGCCTTGCCGTAGGGCACCGGTGCTCCGGGACCCAGCGCCCGAACGTCCAGGGGGGCCCCCAGGCCCTTCCCGCCGGCGCCGCCCCTTCCCGCCGTTTTTTTTCTACCTGGACACTCTCGAAAACGTGCTCGAAGGCCCTGGGGATGATGCCTCTCTGGGAAGATGGGTCCGGCAGGCCCTGCTTTTTTTTGGACTTCCCGCTGCCCGTCTGGCCGTAAGCGAAGATTTTTTTTTTGTAGCCCTCAGTGACACCCTGCATGGGGGGACCACTTTTTTTTTTCTCAGGCTGGCCAGCCCAGCGATACTCGGGGCCTCTCCCCAGCTCACCCACCATGATGGCACCCGGCCGGCAGGCGGTTTTTTTTTGAGTAAGTCCCAGCTCTGTCCCCAAGGAGCTCCCCTTTTTTTTTGGAGACTGACACACACAAGTGATCCTCATACGAGGCAAGTGCAGGTGTCCAGGGAGCGGGCAAGGAGAAGGGGTGCAAGGTTTTTTTTACAGAGCCTCCTGGGTAGGGCGGGCAGAGTGGGGGCTTTTTTTTGTGGCTCAGGGTTCCGACAGGTGTCAAGAAGAGGACTTTTTTTTACGCTGATGGGGCGCAGAGGGGTCAGAGGCTGAGGGTTTTTTTTGCAGGGAGGAGGGGAGAGAAGAAAGGAAGGAAACCATTTTTTTTCCTAAAGTCAGTCTTCATTCACGGACACATGGATTCTTTTTTTTTTTTTT